GATGTAATGTGGATAGCTAGTAGCTCCATACGAACACACCGCAGGCAAGACGAAGAGGAAATAAACTGAACTCACATTAGGTTGTGTCTCGTTGTTCCGCGCAGCGGATTGTTTCTCCTCAGGACCACTGCCGTCCCCATTCTTGTCGTTCTCAGTCAAATCAGGCCAAGTGATTGCACCCGGACTGGTCTGTGCCGAATCCCTCGGGGTTATCTGTTCATCGAATCCCGCCCCGGTTGTTACAATTTGCGTTTCCATCGCTGCGTTTGACGGATCAGACCAGATGGTCACGAGTGATGGTTGCAGCGCTAATGTGTCCGCATCCGCGTCCGCATCCACCTCGTTCGTCACCGAATTCAGCGGACCAGCTGNTGAGAGACCGTCCTGTTTTCTCATACGATCCAGCTGAACGCGTAAATCCCAGTCACGTTCGGATTGGGTCAGACAGAGCACAGTAGTAAGCCATTTCCGTTGCAGTTGCTCAAACTGTGTGACTAAATCTCTCAGATTCATCTGCGAACCAAAAGGTACCCGAGGATGTATTTCTGTTAGGATGTGTTTTCAATGCATTGTGAACCGCGCCGTAGTTTTGAAACATATTCTTCTAGAGTGTCTGGTGCCTCTTAACAATCGAATGGGCTAATCCAAACTTACTACTCTAAAAAATATCCTTCTGGAGTAACCATTACAGGAGAGGGAGAATGAACATTCCTAGAACAGGAAGTGTCAACCCGGACCCCGTTGCTTCATAAACATGAGGTTAGTGCACACAAACACGAATTCGACAGACAATGAGGCATTGCGAATTACATGGTTTTTAAAAGACTATGCAGTGAACTATAAGAGAATGGAATCGTGGATTAGAAGTCAATGTCACTGGTCGAACTCGTGCAACATATACTCTCATTTTGGAAATACATTTCACTTTCCATTATCATACTTGTGTGTCGATGATAGCTTTGCGTTAAGAGTATTTATTCCGAACTTTGACCCCCGTCCCCATTACAATCTTCTTAGTTCTCTTCTATCTCACCGTTTCAATTTGCGCAAGGTTGAGTGTCACGATAACATTTGTGGTAGTTCCAAATTGGCAGCTTAGAATTAAAAAATATTTTATACAAAACATCATGGAAGAAGATTGAAGTGTGTGCGGCTCGTTGAATAAACTTTCTTCAATTTTACCATGCCCAAACTGGATGAAACATTCCAGAGATTTGGTGTGTAGTTGAAACCGAGAGGCAATTTATTCGAGGAGTGCGTAAATCCGACAGATTCAGTTCCTTACTAGGGCAACTGCGTCGATGTGAACATAAGCCCAAGGCGGGGAAAATCGATCAACTGTTTCACCACCACCAATCGTCGTCAAAATCGAGAAATCGTATATTTTAATGACATTCGACCAGTACAAGCAGTAAAAGCAAACGTGAATATTACTGGAAAATACCCGTGGACCGCATCAAGAAGTCAATTTGGTGAACATGGTTGTTTTCGGTGCCACATTTACTAGCCAAATACAGCACTCTATTATAAGTTACAAAATCACATAATCCGAGGAAAGAGAAAAAACGTAAATAATGTCTGTGGAAAGCCCAAGCGATCGCGATTTGGCTGAATAACCCTTCCTTATGCGTTCAAAAACAGTCAGTCAGGGCTCTGGATTTACCATAGCCAGCCATAAACGCTAGAGTGACATAAATCCGGTTATCAAATGAGTGTCAAATCATTTATGTATTGGATTCATTCGACACTATGAATGACATTTGCAGAATGATTTGAACTCTCATAGACCCCTTATTGTATTATCCATAATACCTATACACAGGCATACAAGCACAAACATTATTTGCGTTTTATGTCACCTTGAATTATGTGATCGTGTGACCTATAAAAGAGTGCTGTAGTTGGCTAGTAAATGAGGCACCGAAAACGAGTTTGTTCGCAAAATTGACTACTTGGTGGATATTATTACGAATATGCTGCGTCTGATGTGGGGCAATAGCATATTCAACCCGGTGAATGAGACTCGAAACAGTAAGCCTTGGGAGAAAAAATCTGAGGAAAGTCAGGTTGTCGCACGAGTTTGATCCATACATGTAGATATACCCACTGAATGTGACATATCAGTTGTCTTCAATAACCCGGTTTCTCTATCACATGGCGTCATATAAATGATTTCGGCACAGTGATAGCCACACATGTCCGATTTGTCTGACACGTCAGTTCTCTCGTACTTTCGTGCTCGCGTTATCATTAAAACGACCGTGGACGCCGTCTGCACACTCTTGCATTCTCGGCCTCCTCCTCCTCTGTTTGTTTCTACAACGTTTCTCAATGTCCAAAACCGTTTTATGTCAGTCGACCTGGTCGTCAGTTTCTTTCATCTGGACAAATTAATCACTGCTTAGTGTGCCGCAAAAAGGACTGAGTTCAGGGATAAATCTACCCAATAGGCCTTTCCGTAAACTCCCAGAAGTAGCTGTAACCTAATGAAAGTGTTCAATTCTCTTGAGCACTTCCGTAGCTAAATTTGTGTGCCGAATAACGCTGAATGGTTTCCATTGAATTGTTTTGGATAACTAAAGACAAGGTGTTCGAAGCAAAACCAACCTGTTCAGCGTATTCTTTTTTTTCAGTCCTAGCGATACGGTGGATCGATCATTTACACTCCAGAAAAACACCGTAGTGACATGTATCATTATCATTCAAATACAGTAGTGTATAATGCCCACCTGTATTAATACGTTTCACTCAGTCAAACAAATTAGGACCAACGTTATACGCACCTTTGACTTCCCTATCATCGTTGGCATCTGTTTCCTGGATTTTTTTATTACACACTTTCGTGTGACGGATTGAAGACGGAGAAAGCCTCATAGTCACGAAGACCTGCTGTCTGGTGGTGGACACCGGCAACCTAAGCCCCGGGACTTGGAGTGGCGAACCACATAAGGCCCCGATAGGATAGGCGTGGTATTGATTCGGACGACAGCACAGCTGCCTACCACCAAAGTTTGGTGGTGGTGGTGGGGCTCGAACCTCGGACCATAGGGTCCAAAGCACGCCTGTGACAGTGACTAAACCACAGCTCCATCAGCACCCATCAGACGATACAAAAGTAACATTGTTATGTGACCATTTATGTTCATCTGTAGTTATCTCAGTTGCACAAGTGTTCCATTAACTGAAAAATTGACTCATTCATTGATCAGGGAGTGGTTGTTCAACAAGGGTAGGTAGAATCACTCACTCCGCGAAGGAAAAACAAAGTAGCTGCCATCGTGGAATCGCTAGGCACACACAAAGTTTGACGGGGATCAGAGGTTAGCTTTTCACTTTTGTACTGTGAGGAGACAAGCTAGAATAAGTGATGGATTTAGGTAACGGTGATTATGGCGATCCTGTTATTAATCGAGCAGTTCTCGCACGGTGCCTCCACGCTCAAAACATACGGTTCGCATGACCTATGCGATTAGCTCATCAAACTTGCGTAATGATTCCAAGACGACGGTGTCCTCCCAAAAAGGAAGTAAATCATTACACGGGTATTGTCATTATTGCCAATTATTTAACTCGCCGAAGGTAATCTCGTGAAACAGATGATAATATATGTCGGTCCCATATCAGAGAGAGTTGCGTACTGGAACTACAGATAACTCGTATTGGTTTCGCAAATTCAGATCAGCTTTAATGCAAGTCAAAATTGTTTTCTTCGTGATAAGTAAGTATCTAAACAGCACACTTTGGCAACATTTTCAGTTCAGTTTGAACAACCATCAACCATGCACTTTCGAGCGCCGGTTTTGGTTGCTGTCTTTTGGCTGCCCATTTGGAAGACGAATTGCAGAAGAAAAGTTGAAAGTGCAGTNCCCAGCCATATCGCCCAGTGTCTCTAACCATCGGTTACGATCATCCCGTGGTAACCTACCTGGTGACATGCGTAACACATGTCCCAGCCAACGTAATCTATGGAGGTTGATCTACTTGCTCCAGTGGGCGACCGTATTCACCCAAAACTCTGCCCCTAACCTCAGCATTGCTCAGCGACCGTATTTACCAAAACTCTGCCCCTAACTTCAGCATTGCTCATCCAGCTACCCCACCAGATTCGTGCAATGCTGCGTAG